CAGGTGTTGGGGACTCTGGGGGATGGGGACATGGGCGGTGTCACCTCCCTGGCGTTGGGGACCCTTGGGGACAGGGACACATGTGGGGACCTGGGCAGTGTCACCCACCAGGTGTTGGGGACACTCGGGGACAGGGATGGGACCCCTGTGTCCCCCGAGGGCTTTGGGGGCTGGGGTGGCCCCTGTGCCCACAGCCCCCTGTGACACTCTGGGGACAGCGCTGTCACCGCCACCGCTGTCACTGCACAGTAAACGCGCTCTCTGTCACCTCTGTCACCTCTGTCACCTCTGTTACCCTGCGGTGACACATTCCTGCCACCTCCCCCCGCGGTGACACATCCCGGGCTTTGGTGTCACATCCCCGCTGTCCCCTCCAGGTCACAGGTGGCCTTTGCTTCCTCTGGGTCCCCAAGTCGGTGTCACCGCCCTCCTGTCCCTGTCCCCTCCATTGCTGTCCCTGTCCCCTCCATGGCTGCTTTGTCCCCTCCCTGTCCCCTCCGTCCCTGTCATGGTGTCCCTGACCCCACGGTGTCCCCGTCCCCATGGTGTCCCCTCGGTGTCCCTGTCCCCTCCATGGTGTTCCTGTCCCCTCCATGGCCATTCTGTCCCTGTCCCCATGGTGTCCCCACGATGTCCTCAGTGTCCCTGTCCCCGCAGTGTCCCCTCGGTGTCCCCTCCATGGTGTCCCTGTCGCCATCTCGGTGTCCCCTCGGTGTCCCCTCGGTGTCCCCCCGTCCCTCCCGCGCTGTCCCCACACACGGCAGGGACACAGGTACAAAAATACCCTTTTATTGAGGGCACCGGGGGGGTCCCGCGGGCGCTGGGGGGGGGTGTGGGGGTGTGACCCAGCCCTGGGCTGTCCCCATGTCCCCAAACTGTCCCCATTGTCCCCCCGCTCACCTCCGCGGGCTCCTCTCCCGGGGCCGGCGGCTCCTACAAAAGGGAAGGGGGGGAATTAGTGGTGAGGGGGGGGCTGGGACACCCCGGGGACACCCAGGGGACACCCAGGGGACACCCCGGGGACACCCAGGGGACACCCCGGGGACACCCAGGGTGACAAAAGAGAGGCGGGGCTCAGGGGGGGAGAGGGCGGAGCCAGGCTGTGACTGACAGCTGAGGCGACCAATCGAGAGGAGAGCAGCCCCCCCTCGCCTCTAAAATTAATAATAAAAAATAATTTAAAAAAAAAAAACCCAAGAGACATTTATTGAGGGGTGGGGGGAAGGGTACAGGACACAGGGCAGGGAATTCCGGCTGCTCCGCTCGGGAACTACGGGGGGACCTGGACACGGCGACCTCACAGCGGCCCCGGGGGGGGTCCCGGGGGGTCCCGGGGGGGTCCTGGGGGGTCCCAGGGGGGTCCCGGGGGTCCCGGGGGCTCTGCCCAGGCCCGGCGCTGGCTCCAGGGGCTGCCCCGGCTCCCGCCCAGCTCCGGCTCCTGCGGGACAGAGGGG